ACTGGTTAAGGTGCACTTGCTCCCAAGGTCCGAGGTATATGACAACGACCCTTCCTCATGCTGAAAAATTTGGGTACAAGCGAAAATTAGACTTGCGATGCTACCTCTACAAATGCAGAAAACCATCTGTCTGCTCTGGGAGAACTCCTTCCCAACAGGATTCAGTTACAATAGCATGGCCATTTTTCCTGCTTGCACAAATGCTCTGTATATCAATGTTTATTTTTGTGAGCACAGAGAGAACTGTCCCAAAGCATTTGCAATGTATCTAACTTTAGCTGTTAATAAACAAACAGCTAAAAAGTAATGGCCTGCCTTCAGAGGCATCAATTCAGCAGAACACTTAGGCTTGTGCCTGAGTTTATGACCAAGTAATTGACTTTAGTGACATCTGCTCTTAGGGAATTAGGCATGTGCTTAAGTATTTTCCTGAATTGGAGCCAAAAACTCCTAACAGATAATCTTGCTAGCCTTTTCATTAATAACAAACTGGAGCAATCCTCACTAACACCAGCTGTTTTGCAGTGGCCAGGCACTGTGTAAAGGTGGCAAAGCTATGGATGTGGGCTCCTCAAGTTCAGCTGATTTGTGCAACAACCCCTCGTAATACAAAAGCTTTTGGGGAACGTTGTTTTTTTTTTTTCCCTGTGTCAGCTTACAATGATTCATATTATAAATTTGGCTTTGAGATTGAAGCCCCAAATCTCACAAAGAAAAAGCAAATACAACAGCTATTGCCGACTCCAAAAACTCAGCTCAGGGACACCCGTTCCCCAGCTGGCTTCCAAGTGCCGGAGATTTGTCAGCAAGGGCTGGGACAAATGCACCACGGAGCTGTGAAACATCATGATATGGCAGAAGGAAAAAAAAAATTACCTGCTTTTCTAGCAGCCGGATGGTATCTTCAGACACTTTGTTCTTGAACTTCTTTACCTGGTTGATGCTTTTACTTCGCACCTTTCTCAGGGCCTCTTTGGACTTGTTGGTGGACTGCTTGGCAAGCTTGGCCAGGCTCTCTCTGTGCTCTCTCGTCACCCTAGCAGTGAGGGGACAGAAAAAACACCAAAAGGAAAACAGTGTCATGTGTAGCACAGCCAGATTTATTTTCTGCGATGGACTTCAGCAACGCTCTCCGCTGCGGTACCTCTCCGACTGCCCTACACAGAGGTGCCAGGCAGCACCGAGCCGGGCTGCACAGGAACACCCGAAAGCCGCCTGTGCCAAGACAGAGCCGGCTCTGCAGGGAGGCCCTGTGTCGCAAGGGCAGAGGGATTTGAACAGCTCAGGGTGTGGGTTTATCCTGCTTTGGTCCACCTGAGGGAATCGGCCACCTCTGCACAGCGTCGCCAGAGCAGCACAACCCAGTGAAGAAAGTCTTGAGCCTAGAATGGAAAGTTCCCAGCACAGCCCTAAGCTGAGGGACTTTTACTCGTTTTATAGTTGTCACTGCGGTGCCTGAAAGTCATGCTGAAATGTTCAGCCTTTCCTTTTTTCTGCTGCCAAAGGATCTGTGGGAAAGAGGGAAAATCCAGCTCCAGGCCCGAGAGATGGAGCTGAAAAGCATATTCCTGCAAAGCCGGGAGGAAACCTCCATCCCTTCCTGAAACTCGGTATCGTCTCCCTGCAACTGGGAGAGCCTGAATTATGTATCTGGAAGCTACAGAACTTCGGTTTCACTCAACCTTATTCCAGCTCATTACAACCAGGCTTTTCCACCAAGATGATGTGAATGCCTGGTGTGACAAGAGGACGATGCTAGACATGGCTAGCCACAGGTAACGTGGCCCAGGAGAACTTCAGCTCCACTGTCCCCCTGATGCAGGGCCGGTTACTGCTGTGGTACCACAAGAAAACCCTCAACTTTCCATCCCAAACCAAAACCTGCAGGTGATGAGGGAGTCTGGCCATCTGAGTAAGGCATGGGAATGGCTGACCTGTCACCTCAGCTCTCGTAATGCTCCAGCACTTACAGCTGATCACTGTCAACATCAACTGCTAGTGCTTAATAATAACATTTTAATTATTTTCATGGCTGTTGAAGTTTCCAGACTGCCTTGAGAATGAAAAACCCCAGTGCACTCACTGAGACTCGCTAGCAAGAGAGCGCCCGTCTGCTCACAGAAGATATTGCAAAATAAACATTTCACAGGAGTATTTAGAAATTGGCTGCAACAGCTTGGGTCACCAAAACACCGAGGCCAAGACCCTTCCTGCAGAGAGCTCAGGAAACGCGGGGCGAGGGCGCCCAGGGCAGCACCAGCTCTGCCCCTGCGTGGGGGTGCGTCACCGGGAGGTTGTCGGGGCACGATCGGACCCTCAGCCCTTCCCGAGCTCATGCTCAGCCCGGCAAGTCACACGCGTGCCGATACCTTCCCTCGGCAGCCAGGGCGCTCGCAGCAGATGCCTGCAGAGCCGCTGGCCTCTTGCCAGTTATCTCTATTTCACGGTGCAAGAGGGAATAGGCTTCCCAGAACCGATTAGTAATTACAGGAATTTGGGATCGCTACAAAAGCTGACAGACCTAGAGAGCAGCGACCCAGCCCCAGCACCCAGGGTGCCCCCGCGCAGGCACACTGCCCTCACCCCGGGGCACCCTGTGGGCAGTGGCTCGGCCCCCCCACCCCCTCCTGCTCCCCGCTGACGGAA